CCCCAAAAAAACTTAAGTATTTAAAAGAAAGTGATTCTTTTCACTAAGAACAAGCCCTGTCACTAGACGTCACATTCGTGTGAAGACACCAAAGGAGAATAAATGGCTTAGGGCGATGACGAGTGCAAAGAGCCCGATTTGCACTTACAGCCCTGTACAGACCCAGGCAGACACGGCCAAGGTCACGATGGGGCAAGCCCAGACCTAATTCCTCTTAAACTCCCGCTGCAAGGCACAGCCCAGGACAGCGGGGACTTCTACTGGTATCTGCGGGGACCAGTTTTGGTGTTTAATCCCCACCACCCCGTGACAAGCCGCAGGCATAGCAGCGCTGCTCTCTGCCGGGTGTTTGAACTTGGTTTACCTCCGCAAAGCACCGATGCCAGGACCTGGCGAGGATTAGCAGTGAAACCCTTAGATACACAAATGCACAATACCAGTTATTTCATTTTGGGTGCGCGCAACCTGCTCCAAGCAGATCACGAAAGAGAGGGTAGAGCTCAAGAAGAAAAAGCGTCTGTTTTCTTTCCCTTCCCCAAATGGTCCCTGATATTATTAACTTGCAACTAGACACATAGACGCTTTGGGCTTTGCTGGGAGGGGGTGGAGGAGCTCTGAGGGCAGTGGCTGGGCTGGAGCAGGAGCTGCAGGAAAGGCTCCAGCCCACCCCAGGCAGTGCTGGTTGCTCCCCTGTCCCCTCTTGCTGCGGGCTGGGGAAAGAGAGCAGCTGGGCACACGTTATCGTGGCTGGGCACATGTTATGGTGGCTGGGCACTCGTTCTTTCTGCATTGCCCGCAGCCAGCATGCGCGGACAGCATCTAAGAAGAGGCTCATTCACGTTGGTTCCCTTGTTTTTTTTTCACGGCGAGCTGCAAAGTTATTTCCTTTTGGTTGTGCCCCAGATCAAACTAGCAGCAAGAATTTGTGTCGTGCATTAAGCAAATACCAGCGAGCACCCAGCAGCCGCCCAGCCCCATCACCAGGACCCACCAGCCTGCTCAAGGGACCCGGCGGGCACCCGAGAAGGGCAGCTAGTGGGGAAAACAGTGGGTGTCAGCCTGTCAGGCAACAGCTCTGGTACAGGCATAAAAGGGGCTGCCGAGGCCGGGGAGGTGTTTCAGAATCCCTTTTCGGAGCCGAGCGGTGCTTCACAGGGGTCAGAGCTGGGATATTTATTGGGTGGCAAAGAGCCGGCCTTGCGCGGCTGCAGCCAAAAGCCCCTGCCAGCACGTTACTTAGCCTTCGCAAACATGGTTTTACGGGAGCGTTACAAGAAAGACGGGGGGGGGTGGGGGGGTGTGAACTAGATGGGTTGCAAAGCCTGCCCCGAACTCCCTGCAAAGGGAGACTGCAGCAGAAACTTCTCTGCCGATTAACCCTTGAGCTGCCCAGATGGGAGGGCCAGACTGAAACGGAGCTGAGCAACCCTCCGCTCCAGCCTCTGAATCTGTGCACTTGGTTAGCTTTGCTTTTTCCCGCCCTCTCCTTCCCTTTTTATTTAAGAAAAAAGCAAGCTCTCACCCAGTGACCCGGCAGGCTTAGTCCCCGCTCGCTGCCGCCGCCCCCCGCCGCGCGCGG